CCCCAACTGCTATCTGTGAAAATGTCACCCCCAATCAGCTATGGGGGACAGGTAAGTAAATCCCTGTATTTCAAAGGTCATAAAGCAGTGCAGTGACAGAAATAGGAACAAACCCAGCACCTACTTTTCCCCAGAACTACCTCAAAGCAAACACTAGCAGAAGCAAGCCTTTTTATCATATTTATTATGTTCATCTAGCTCCTCTTGTATAGAGCAGCTGAGGCAGAAGAACTTGAACTCTTAATTTTCATCAACTCAGAAGAGCAATAACTTAAAAGCCTTAAGCATCTTGTTTAGTCTTTTAAAGATTTGCCCTAAATGTAATTGTCAATTTAATCTTGATATTTTGAGTTCAGGGCTCAGTGTTTTATGAGGATAATCCCGATGCTGCACCTTAACCTAACACCCAATGAGTTGTTGCTACACCCATTTTATGACTATCTTTTCCCATTATGTAAACAAGTAGGGGTGAATTTTTGTTCAGTGACAACTTCAGTCAACAGCCTGTTCGTAAAACGTTAAGCAAAACAATGTGAAGATCGTGGTTCCAGAATAATTCTGTTCTGAGATCAAATCAAAAAGAAAACAACTCAAAACCTCCAAATGAAATTGGGTACTCTCACTCTAACCCCTCCAGGCACATGGAAGTAGATCTCTCTCGCTAGTGTCAGTTTAGCAATCACCTCAGTTTCCTGCTTCATTTTGGAAATGGTCTGAAAGGTTTCCAGTTTTAGTCATTGTTGTGTAACCCTGGAAGATTTTCAGCTCAGAGACCAGAGATGTGACAAGTAGAAACCTTTCGAGCTGCTTTGGAATTGACTCAAATACTTGTTCCTTTAAAAAAAAAAAACAAAAAAAACAAACCCAAACCCAACAACCAAACCACCATCCACAAAATCTAAATAAATCTATTACAGGACAGCATTGAGACTCTTCCTTCCTTCTTTTTTGCCTTCCATCCTTCCTTTCACTCTTCTTTGCAAAGGCACCTAGCTTCTGCTAATACAGCCAGTCTTTCTGCTTCTGGTATGGAATCCCCAGAGCAGGGTTGGCACATCATGATTCACCGTTTGTGTATCTCTTATCACGCACAACACGTGACTGCCCGCGGAGGTGTTTGCTGGC